GCAGCTCCTCCTTTTCTCTTCAACTTCACGGATATCACTTATCTCAGGTCTCCTGAGGGTGCAGAGCACTCCAGAGGCTCAGGTCTTGAGCTAGTCTCTGCCAAGTACCATCCCCCCTCTCCTTTCTCTTTGGATCTGCTGTCACCTTCCAGCACCCTCCTGCCTGGAGCAGGTTCCTGTCCCCCTGCAGCCCCTAGGTGCTCTCCCAGTACAGTCACCACCCAGGGCTTCCAGACTCCTGTCTCTCCACACCAAGGCCTCTGCCTGTGCCCCTGGGACTCATCCCTGTCCTGCAGGGCCACACCCAAGGGCTGGCACAGATGACAAGTACGGTAAATATTTCTCCTGCCACTCTCCAGGCATGTGGATTATGCAAGCAGCAACTTCTTCCCTGATTCAAACACATGGAAGGTGTTTATCTGGGCTGGATGGGTGGGTTTTTGTACCCCGTGGTTTGGGAGTGGTGGCGGGAGGGTAGATATTTTATTTACTCTAAGTATGCTAAAATTTATTTCTTCATGCCTGGTATTTAAGTTGAAAAATATATTAAAAAAGGAAAGATTTGTGGGCTGGAGGGTGTAGCTCACGTGCAAAGAAGAAAGGAAGGAAGAGAGGGAGGGAGAAGTGGATGGAAGAAGGGAAGATTTAAGAAAAATATGTATAGTCATAGTTACTTCGATAAAAAATCAAGCCTTATCTACAAACAGCATGTGTTAAACCTTCCATCTGCTGATAATAAAATGGATAACATTTCAAATTGAATTCATGCTTAAAATATTTTTTTTGAGTCAGGAAAGGTTAAGGTGTATGGGATAGGTAGCATGGTCTCATTTTTGAGCTCTTAGAACTCTACTTTATGACTTGGATTGACTTGACACAAGTAAATAAAATTAACCACTGCTTGATTCTTTTTTTCTGGATTTGGAACCCAGGGCTGACACATGCCAGGCAAGTGCTCTACCATTGGGCTTTACCCCAGCCCTGCAATTAACGTAAAACTGCTACGCTTTTTTCCCATTTATATTACAGCTGATTTTTTTAAAGTAGCAATTAACAAATGACAAATGACAACTTCAAATAAGCTGCTACCAATGTAACTTTTTACTGAAAGCATTGTTTCTAAGAACCATGTAAATAGGTTTTCAAACACAAACAAAATAAAGGAATTTATCAGCAGATCACTCGGTGGAAAATCTCCCAAAGATGTGCTTTGACATTTGTCACTGATGGGAAGCCTGGGTTTTCTAAGTGAAGAACAACTCTTTCCTCACCCTGCCCACCTCATGCCTGCTGAGGAACAGATTCTGCGCATGTCGCAAGAACCCCAGGGTATTGCCAACAGGCTACTTCCCTTACTCCAAGTAGCAGACAACAAATTTGATGTTTTGTTCTGTCATGCAGAGAATCCCATTTCAGTTACAGATTCCATTAGAAAAGTAACAAGCAGCACAGCCCTTAAGCTCTTCTTTGTTCCCTTAACTGTCTTTTGTATATTTTATCCAACACCCCCAACCACTGACCCTGACATGAGCATGTTGGTTGTTACTGATTTCACTCCATGCATAGGAGCATCCTGATTTTTGTTTCATGGCTGAGATGAGATGCACAAGAGATGTCGACAGACAGCTGTGTTCCTCACGGGCCCTGCTCTGATTTCTGAGCAGTTATTTCCTAATTCGAAGTGTGTTTTATAAGTGGCCGGAATGTTATGACATTGTGGAGTGCATTTGTAGATTTTGCCATAACATGCATATGCATGGGCATAATTCTTGCCTAAACTACAGTTTCTGGGAATGTTTTACCTATTTTGAGACTTCTCTGGGTGCCCACCTGAATGGCATTTCACTGTAAGTGGAGAACACACCTCCACAGAGGAGTCAAGCCTGCCAAAAGACACACCCTGTGGCACCTTAAAACCAATAGACAGCTATTGTGAAGATAACAAGATACACTATGGTAGCTATTGCTGTTTTCCTAGTATCCTGCTTTGAAGTTCTGTGCCAGTTTTGCTGCTTTGTTCTGGTTTTTTTCCTACTGGATTTGACTATCTTTAAAAAAACACACAAAGTTGGAAGTTCACCATTTTGGACTGCTGGTCAACCCATCTTCCTGAAAGCAATGTGGAATTCTCCTGAAAAAGAGATTTCTACTCCAGAGTTAGCTTAAAAGTGAGGCTCTTTTGTTTGGATTTTACATGAGTCAAAGAATAACTTATCAGTGTATGAGTATGTAAATAATAATGATTGCAATTTGCCTTTGTAACTGGTATACTGTGTGCTCAGCGCTAATCTATTGTTTTGTGCATTATCTCAATCTTTGTGAGTATCACACCTATTTCAAAATGACAAATGAGGTGCCCTGTAGCCTTGGTTTAAGTTACTTAGCTGTTCAATAGCATTTAAACTCAGACAGCTTGATTTTAGAACCTATCCCACTGTGTCTTTTGCTATGCATATGTGTGTATGTGCATGTGTATGTATACACACGCATATGCACATACACACATACATGATACATGTGCGTACACACACATACAGTTACTAATATATATGTAAATGCTTAGAAAAAGCTTCTGATTAGATATGTAATCCACTTTAGCCAGGGGATCTTAGGAGAAGTATTAGAAATCAGGATTGATGTGTACATTTAATTCCACACATTTCTCTCATCATTTTAATCCCCAAAACAACATGCATTATTCTTGTACTTAAAAACATAAGCAATTGATTTTGCTGTCTGTGTCCTCCTGGAAATGTTTATGGAATAACTGAATGTCAGGAACAGCTTATGGGCTCCCCCACCCCTTTTCTTTTCTTTTCTTTTTTCCTAGAGACCTTTAGAAGGGCAAGTCATAAAATCTAGTAGAATGCGAAAGCCGAAATCAACAGGAAGCTCATCTAGAGACCTCACTGCCTTCCAAAACAAAACAGTTCACAGATGTCTTAAACATGTGCCCTCTCTTTGTTCGGAAGGGAAATTCACATTATTGCAGGAAAAGTGTAAGATGTTGTGCTCTCTCTCCCCCTCTCTCCACTTTCTTTAAAGATTCTGACCTCTATAAATTCCTCTTTTAGGATGCAGCCTGGTTTGAAGATGCTCAAGACCAAGCTGTGCCAAGTGCTAGATCTACACAGGTACAAGGATCCCTGATTTCCGCTGCCCTCAGAGCAAGGTGCAGGCACTCAGTCTGTACGGAGTACCTCCCACATCTCCAGCACCTGTGCTTCTTGTGATTTCAGCATCCTCTTCCCCCACTAATCAGCGCCCCAAGCTCTGCCGGTGTCAACCTTGGTTCTCACATCAGGCTTTTTTTGTGTGTTTTGTCCGAGCTCCCTCATTAGTGCATCTCATGCTCGGGGCCATGTGTGGTATTCCAGGCATTGTCTTTTTATGTCTTTTGATCATATTCTCCTGATGTGTCCTTTTCAAAGCTTTACAGGCCTTTTTTTCTAAACGTAGTCTAGTTGCAATTCATTGGGGTAGCAGTAATAACCCACAGACGAAACAGTGAATGCTACTGAGTGCTAGGCACTCCTCAGAGTACTTCACACACTGCATTTAACTTAGGAAACTGAGTCAGGGAGAGGCAAAATAACTTGCCAGGCAGTCAAATTCAGCAGGCTGGCTTCTGAGTCCCCTACACAATCCTCCAAACACGGAAGTTCTCTGCCGAGGCCCCCAATTCCCGCACCTGCCCTTGCAGACAACTGACTCATTTTTAAATCTGCAGCATGTATTTTAGGGATAATTGTATCCCAGGAATTCCACCGTCTACATTGCAGCAGACACTAAGATCTGAATACCGATGCTGGGCCCTGCATCCGCCTCTGTCTCTGTGCATCTCAATCTGCAAATTCTCCACAGGCTTCACTTCGAAGGGTATTGCAGAAAACCAGATTTCTGAGACAAAGGGAGACCTCCAAGGCAGAGGAAAGGCAAGGGCTCAGGAGGGAGAATCCCAGGATGGGCCAGTGCTCACGATATTCACTTCGATTGCACAGGAGACGAGACAGGACTGGGTGCTGTTACCCCTCTCTAGTTAGCTTTGGACCTTCGTACTAGCTGCCTCTTTTCCCTCTAAAGACCTGCGCTTGCTGATGGACTCTCAACCTCAGGAGAGCCCACTCCTGCAGGGTGGCCGCAGCCAGGAAGCCCAGTAGTTAGAAGCAAGTTTCTGGCACTGTTTCAAACTCTGACTCTTCTTTTCTCTAGCTGAGCTCCACACGACCAATTGTGTTTGGCTCATCAGGAAGCTCTCATCTCTTGGAACTGTCAATCCGATTCGTATCTAGCTATTACTATTTTTTTTATTTGCTTGTGTTTTAGGACAGTCTCACTATGTAGCCCAGGATGGCCTAGAACAGGTGTCGATCCCCTTGCCTCAGCCTCCCAGAGTGCTGGGAAGCAGGCATGACCCAACAATCCCGGATTGTTCTTACAACTTCTGCACCCGCGACCCCAGCCACTCAGTGCCCTAGGTCAGTGCGCCCCTCTGTGGCATCGCCAACGCCCTCTCCCCGGTCCTCACTCTAGGGCTCCGGAGCAGCTGGGGGCTGTCGGGGTGCTGGGGGTTGCACAGAGCACGGCCTGGAGGTAGCGATCCGACAGCCGCGTCCAGGTCAGCCCGCTCGGTACCAGGAACCCAGATCCAGGGGTTGGGCTGCGCCAAACCGGCTCCCGCGGCGCCCGAAACGGGAAGGGCTGGCGGCGCCAGGGCGGGAAGCCGGGCGGAACCGCCTTGAGGGCGCAGGGCCTCGCCCGGCGGCCCCGCCCCCAGACACCGCCCCGCCCACACCCACACCCCTCCCCGTGCCCACCTCTCTGCCCGGGCTCCGGGCCCAGCCCAAGACCTGGCCACGGTCCAGCGAGATGGCCCCACGCCCGGGCTCCAGGCCCCGCCCCCGCTCGCGCCTGCCTCGGCCAGCCCCGCCCCCGGCCCGTCCCCGCCCCTTCCGTGGCCCCGCCCCCCGCGCGCCCCGCCCTCCCTCCGCCTGCGGGCGGGGGCCGATCGCGCGGGGCGCTGGCCGCGCACCCGGCCCCTCACCGCCGCCAGTGCCGCCGCCTCCGTCCCAGCCGGCGCGGTGCCTCCCGGAGCCGCGCGCGCCCCCGCCGGGCGGGCCCGGGACGCCAAGAACGGCGCTGCAGCCAGGTAGGCGCGGGGCACGGCGGGCATGGGGCCGGAGCTGGGGCCAGCGGGCGGGCGGCTCCCAGTGCCCTGCGGGCCTCGCCCCACCGAGCCGAAAGGCGGATCACCGCGCCGGGGAAGGGGCTCCGGGCGCAGGGCGCGGGCGGCGTGGGGGTGCTGGGGCCGGGGCACAGGGCGCGCGGATCAGCGATAGGGTCCGGGCGCGGGGCGCGTGGTTCTGGGTCGGGGCGCGGGGTTCGGGGTCCGGGCGTGGGGATCGGGGCTCTTGGTGCGGCTGGGCGCAGGAGGGAAGGGCGCGCGGTTCCCGGGGAAACTTGGTGACCGCGCACATTCCAACTTCTCCGGGGAGCCCTCGTGGGCGACGAGGTTGAAAACTCCAGAGTCTGGCTGGGCGGACGGTGTCTGGGCGGTCGCGGGGTGACAGTGTGGCGGCCGCGGTGGGAGCGGCGGGGACAGAGACAGGCGCGTTATTCTCGAGTGGGGGCCGCCAGGAGCCCGCTCGCGCCGGTGTGTGGCTGGGTGGGTGAGTGGGTTGTTTGTGTCTCGGCTTTGGACCCGCGGCTCCCAGCCCCGCGCAGGCCACGCTGGCTGGGCTGGCCGTATGAATACACGACCAGGGGCCGAGGTGCCAACCGGGCTGGCCGTGGAAACTCGGAGGTTTGCTGTGGATGCAGGTTGGCTAGCCGTGCTGTGCTGTGTGTAGCTGGGGGACGCCCCAGCTCCTCTTCCCCAGTGTGGGGCCCCCTAGATACCGCCGGGGAGCTGCCAGAGCCGGCAGGCTCTCGGGCCGAGGAGAAGGTTGTGGAGCTCAGGGATCAGTGACATTCGGAAAGAGAGGCAGCCGGATCTTATTTATGCTTATGCTTTCCAAGTTAGTGCAGCAGATCGGTCCTGTGTGATTATCAGTCATAATAAAGTTCTGGTAACTTTCGTTCTGATTACAAAACCAGCTTGTGCAGACAGTGCGGGAATCAGCAACACAACACAGACATCCCTCATCCCCTTGAACCTACTGGCCTTTTGTATTTACCTTCCTGGGGTCACAAGCCTATATGAAGTTACAGCCAAGGCCTTTCTTGTGGAAACCAAAGGGATGCCTCCCTGTAGCCTTCCTCTCCCCACACTTCTGAGTGCAATTTGTCTCCAAAGTTTGGGGTTTTGGCCTAGCTCTCCGTGCAGCATTCTCTGCTGACCATCAGTCCCTTTCAGTGGGCTGGTTCTGTGTGAGATCGTGGGCATGGGATGGGAGACCCGGTGCCTCTCAGCCCTTACTGTGATTTTGGTTTCTTGCCCTGTAAAAATGATGGTTATGATCTTCAATCTGCTTCTCAGGCCACCATAAAAATTAATGGGTGGTTTGCAGGGCGCTTGACGTCCCTGCTGGACCGCGGCTGTAGTTCAAGATGCTGGGGAGCATTTTTGCTGTTCTACAGTGGCATCCAATAAAACAGGCGGCCTCAGGAAACAGACCCCAGGCCCCAGGTGCATCGGACAGTAGCTGGGCTGTGGGGAGTACGTTTCTGGTGGCCAGCCTGTGCACTCAAGGCCCCTTCCCCTAGAGCAAGGGGCACTGGCTTCTACCTCCATCAGCTGGGCCTGGTGCTTGCAGGGCTGGGACAGTCAGAGGATGCTGCAGCTGCTGTGGAGGGAAAGGCTGGGGTTGGGAGGACGCTGGGAGTGACCAGCCTGGCTTCCCAGGGCCTTGTACACGGCTCAGTGCTCACCCTAAGAACAATGCCTGGCTTGGAGCTCAGCTATGGAGAAGCTTGGGAGAGGCTTCTTTTGGCCTTCTTTGATTTCCTGTTGTCCCCAAGAGGTTCAGACACAATTCTTTAAAGTCCTTAAAAAAACAGTCAGTTAGGGACCCACATCGTTTGGTAATTTCAAGTGCCCCATTCCTTGCATGGGGAGGGGTTTGCCTTTGATCAAACCTCCTTTCCCCAAGAACCTGGGTTGGGGATCCTCTTTCCCTGGCTGGCCCTGGACTCTCTCGGGCCACCCTCTGGTAGTTTCATTTTTATTGTTATTCACACCAACACTTTGTGCTGGGCCAAGTCTAGTAGCAGATTGCAGTCCAGATAGGTTTGGAAGGACCCTGAAAGGGAGCCAGGTAAATTACTGATAAGATCTCTTGCCAGCCCATTGTCTGGGAATACAGATTGTGCTGTTAATTTTCTTTGTGGAGAGAGGAAAGGGTACTGACTCTTCCTGGAATTTCTCCTTTACTCTGCGCTAATCCAGCAGCCCCTGGGCTGTTTGAATGGACTTTCTTCTTATTCTAGTGTTGGTTGTTGGTCTGATAGTAAGGTGAATGGTGGGTGAATGCTGAATGCTTGGGTCCTGGGAGACCTCCTGGGTGTAGGTCCTCCCCCTGCCGCCTGGAGGTGTGTACCCCCTTCCTGGGTGCCATGAGACTGGGAGCCACTGCCAAGAGCCACGTCCCTGCCCCCATGCTGACTGGCTGCGTCCCTGGCTCTAGGGGCACCTCTCATTTAGCAAGCAGCCAGCTCTGTGGGTTTTCCTTCCCTTTTTTATTTTAAGACTCTTGGGCTCCGTGCAATTTTTCTTGTGAGAATTGGAATCAGGCCCCTGGGATGTTTCCCAAGGCTCTGGAGATGGACACCCTGAGCTTCTTTGTCCCAGTGAGGTGGCCTGGCAACCAGGAAACAGGGAAAGGTCACCAGGCAGATAATCCTACTTCTCTAGAGAGTGCTGGAGGCACTGGTTTTGTACCCTGAGGCTTCCAAGGCTGGCTCCTTGCACAACAGAAGCCCCACGTTCAATCACTACCCTTTGGAAGGGTGACAGGAGGAAAATTCACTGAGCACCAGGACACCCAGCGAACAATCCAGCTACTTATTCAGTGTCCTCCAGGAAGCCCGGCTGCCTGCTCAGGGCATCCGTGTGTTACATAACTTAGCACCTGAGACCTGGGGAGCGGCTCCTAGAGAAAGGTGGGTCGGCAGTCAGCCCGTAGAGGGCAGGGATGCAGAATGGGGGAGAATGGAGGAGTCCAGGGTGCTCTAAGGAGGGACAGGTGACAGGCTTCATAGACCAGGTGCACAAATCTTTGAACACCATCAGTCAGCAAATGCAGCTTTGAGGGTGTAAGAGGGCATGCTGAGGTCATCGAATGGGGCTCAAAATTGGGGGTGTCTGAAGGGGTAGAAGTGGGCATGGCTCTTGGAGGGCTTGTATGCACACAAACCAGTCCTCAAGAGTATCATGAGGGATTTCGTCTTCCCGGAAGCGGCGACAATTCAGTTACCTCCTCTAACCTTAGTTCCAAGTGCGCTTGAACTGGGATTTGAACCTGGATCTGGCCTGTCCAGGGCTCCCATCACACCTCCCCCCCAGCGTGCTGAGAACACAGAAACCCTCACTGCCAGTCATGCCTCTGGGAGCTGTGTCGCAGGCTTGGGTACCACAGGATGCAGTTCCAAACAAGCTTGTACTAGGAGGGCGATGAGCCTGAAGTACCTGTGTGGCCTTCTCAGCCCGGCTGTGGAAGGCAGCCAGGTTGCACTCCATCCCATCACCCTGGCTGCAGGGAAGGCTCGATGTGTTCAGAATGCTGCGATTTTGCAGTGGGAGTAACTCAGACAGGATCTGTTGTAGAGTCTGTCCTTGTGCGCAAAGAGAGCTCTGGGCAGCTGAGGTCACTCGAATAAGATTATAGGAAGGCTGTTAAGTAAATGTAAGATAAGGGTTCCACCTTCTTCCTTATGATCAAATAAATGACACACTAATGAGATTATTCTTATCTGCTCAATAAAAGCCAGTCTCAGGGGACCAGCTCTGCAATGCCTATTAGCCGAGCCCTTCTGAGAAGGTTGGAAAGAATCCTTTTTTTCTCTCCCCAGATGGTATGGATCCAAATTCTTTCTCCCCCTGACCACCCTCAGGCACATGGGAGCCTCCCAAAGTCTGCAGGCCTGAACCAAGCATCTCCGAGCCGGGAGTGTACTGTGGGAGTGGGAACCTGCTGTGGATGAGAAACAGCCCCGTTGATGGTATCTGCCGCTGTCTGTGGTGTAAACACCTCCACCTCGGCTGATTTAAGGCTGCCAGTGTGGGCTGGGGTCGGCCCTAAGTGCTGCACGGGAGCCAACAGGAGCACCTTTCCTTGCACCAAGCACCCCCATCCCCCACGCCAAGCCCTGACTGATGCTTGGGCCTTGTCTGCCTAGGGGCAGAGCAGAGAAAGGATTCTTGGTCACTGAGTAACCTCACATGACCAGCAAGGGTACAATGCTTCACAGCTCACCTGGAAGCATAATAAAACACTGGACACCCACTGCCCCCCATTTGTTTGGCTTTGCCAGTTTCATTGGATTAGAAAAGCCTAGCAGATTAGAACCACTAGGCCAGCCCTGGGTGTGTCCAGGTGAGTGGTGGAGACTTGCTCTGGGGTCCGTGCCTGGTCCTTCTCTGCTCCCTCTCCAGTGCTGGCCTCCTGCTCTGCTTCCTGGCTGCCAAGAGCCCTGCAGCTTTGCCCACCACACCCTTCCTCCGTGTTCCTGTTGCAAAGCTGGCCGACCATGGACTGGACCCCCAAAACCATGTGCTCACTTACTCCTTTCCTCCTTTAAATTCTGAGTGTTTGTATTGTGTCTATAACAGTAGGAAAGCCAAGATCCCACCCCCACCCCAACTGAATAGAATCTTCAGGTTCGGGGGAACCCCTCTGTCACCTTTAGTTTTTAAAAGCTTCCCAGGAGATACTTGTGAGAACCCAGAGTGGAGCACCACTGGTGTAGTGAAGAGACTGAGAAGGGAATCGCAGACTTCAGATCCTTGAGGTGGGAGGTGGCTGTGCTGACATTCCAGGAGAGGTGGGCAGGGCCTGCCGTTGTTTTGCTGACTTCATAGTCCTGCCCTCTTGGGGGTGGTCAGTGTGCTTGCATTGCTTCTGTTGCCCCTGCTGGTCTGGAAGAACAGCAGTGGGTGGGATGCAGCCAGGCAGGTGTGGTGAGGGGAAGATTGTGACAGGCTGATTGACC